AAAAATTCTATGCATTAAAAAAGGGATATTTACTCTTCCTACTTTTCACAATAAAAGTCCTGCACAGTCATTGGTGTAATCTGGTTACATGACATGTGACTATTGTGGTTATATCAGTTTTGGACAAGTATCAGATTTCATTTTATAATTTCTTTATACACTAAGGAATATACTCGTTTCCCTTTTCTCTTAAAAACATCTGTTAAGCTAAAATTGTGTCATTAAGAAAAAGCATGGGTTACAAAAAACAAAACATTTGTTCTATTTAACAAAATAAAATGCAGAAATAAGTGTACACATTAGCTTTCCCACTGCTAGTGAAAACTGTTTTCTTTCCAAATAAATCTCTCACTGAACTAACACAGCTAATCCCCCAGCATGTTTGTACTCTATTGTTACCTCGGCCAGGTCCGCGGCTCTGAACCGTGGTAAAGAGACCCCTGGCTAAAACATCGGTTCCATGTCGGGCTCGTAGCCGGTAATTACCTTTGCTGTCTGGGTCAACTTTGCTAGCTAGAGACAGAGAGAGGCGCTGAAGAGCTGCTACAACTGAACTTTCTTGTTTCGGAGGCGGCGAACACGGTGTACAGTCGAGTCTTAACAGCCTACTTACAACTGGGCTCGTTTTTGGCTGCAGTGGTTATTATTGTAATTATATGCTTTCATCTACTGTTTCTCGTCGGTAACAACTAGTACTTATCGACTCTCCTCTTTCTCCCTTCCTCGCGCTCACTGACGCGCGCACACACACAACGGGAGGGGCAGTCCCACACATTCAAGCACGGACTACACCCCCCATCGGGCTATGTTCTTAAAGGGCTATGCTTGTAACACTCTGCTAATATTGTCTTCATGTTAAATAATTTTTTGAATAATGTTTTTTTTTTAATATTTAAACGTCACGCCAATATGGGCTGCAAGTAAATTAAATTAATGCAAGGTGCATTTCCCCAGAAACATGTCAGTCGACACAGCTAGCAAACATTGTGACTGGCCTTTTAAGCACAGTCTATTTTCTGCTATTTCCCCCACAGAGTCTTTAAATTCATCACCAAGCGGATAAGAAATTATTCCTCATTTTGGACATATTGTTTGCACCAACTGTAATCTCCAACTAACCAAGTATATCAAACTCCCATTAACTCATTAGTTAACTAGAAGGCCTACATTTAGCAAAGCATAAACCATACGATACAGGAATAAACTTACTCATACCATAAGCATTTATTTATACGAATATCTGTCAAATAAAAACTGATAATTATATAGCGAAACTCTGCCTAACAGCCAAACAAGCGCCATACACCAATAGAATTAAATATAAATTATCGTTACTTCAAGATTACTCAGCAAATTCTTCGATGTGGCAGACACGAACTGACCATTATTAGGACAATTTTCAACAAAAAACACATAAAATTAAGTCTTTTAAGACATACATTTTAAAATGTGAAATACATATTTGATATTTACCTGAGAAAGATGCAAAATTGTCTCCAAATCTCTGCCCATGAAGATGGCTGCCTTGATTGTAAATTTTCCCGCTTCTTGTCGATTCTTACTCCCAGAATGCAATGCATAATTAAAGAAATACGGAAAAAAACCTGTGAAAAATCAAAACGGAAAATTCCTTCATAGAAAAACGGTAGATTGTACAGTATTTTTACGGATTTTTTTTACAGTGTAAATCAATCTGTTAGAAAATGGTCTACTACCCATTCAGGCCAAAAATATCATTATTTTGGTCAATATTTTAAACTTTGTTTTAAATGTAATTGTTCCATTACTAATTTATAACACTAGAGAAGACAATTTGTAGAAAAACTGGATACACGATTACTATGTTTTCTGGGACTTGTGAAAATAAAGAACTGAAACTGACATAAGACCTCTGGTCCCTAAGAACCTCTGGGGTCTGGGTGATTCCTTTCAATTTCAAAATACGAAATGAAATGGTATTTATTAATATTCTTATTCTTCTCATTAGTATCAAAGCTCTTTTATGTTACAAGCTGCGTTACCCGGTCCATACAGTGTTTTATTCTAAGCATGTTTTTCTTTCACTTTTTTTCCTCTTTCTTTTCAATATGGACACGTACAAGTGAAAGTGTGATGTTCACAAAAACTGGAGTAATTATTGATGACAGCTACTGAAGAACACACATTTGGTCACAAATGCTCTAAAAAATAATAATGTTGTCCCAGCAGCTGATATCGGAGGATTCAACTGTCAAGATCCTGGGTCTTTTGAGTTTTACTTCATGTTTATGGTTTATGTTTAAGCCCTTTAGGTTTTCTAAGTTCATTTTTTATTATGCCTAGGTTGTTATAGTTCTTTGTTATTAGATTCCCCTTGTGTCTTCCCCCCCTGTTAAGTCTCCCTTGCCCTTCATGTGTTTCATGTCTGTCTTACGTTGTCAAGTTCAGGTTGTCATGTCTGCGTCTTATGTTTCCTGTTTTATTTTGAAGAGGTCTTGTGTTCCTGTATTCATCATGTTTAGTTTTACTCTTCCACTGTGAGTCGTTATGTTCATGTGTGTCAATTGTTCCCCATGTGTTTCCAGTTCTCTCATTAGCCTCCTGTGTGTATTTAGTCAGTGCCTTCTCATTGAGTCTTTGTCGGATCGTCTGTGTTGTTCCCATGCCATGACCTGTGTTCAGGTCATGGCTATCCTCATCATCATTTCCATGTTTAGAGTTTATTTATTTTTCTGTTTGCCAGGGTTTTTCATAGTTCATGTTTCCTTTCTAGTTTACCCAGTTTAGGTTATTGCTTAGTTTGCATTGTTTTCGCCCTTTTATTTTGTACTGTTCTGTCTGCCTTAATAAACGGCTCATCATCAGTTAAGTTTGAGTTTCAGAGTGTCTGCTCCCGGGTCCACTCTTCACACTCCACGCAGTTTGCCTCAGCAGACTGTGACATCAACAAGTTATACTGGGGATTATTGTGGTTACTGAAAAGTTTTTCTACTTTTATCCTGCCTCACAGTAGGACAAAACAGCTGGCATTAGCACCATGTTAGAAATACTGTTTTCCTAATTTAACCTAAATGACAATTACATTATTTGTTTTGTTGGTCTGTGGTGCTAAACTGTGAAACAACATGTCTGCCACCCCTTTACTCCACAGACACATTTGCACCATGTTTAGGTTTATGTTGATAACAGTCCTGAAACTGACTCCATTCTTGTACATCTGTGCCGAGAGATATAATCTCTCCAGTGTGTCCTGGGTCTGCCCCGGGGCCTCCTCCAGGACATGCCTGGAACACCTCACCCAGGAGGCATCCTTGTCAGATGCCCGAACCACCTCAGCTGGCTCCTTTCGATGTGGAGGAGCAGCGGCTCTACTTTGATCTGCTCCCGGATGGCTGAACTTCTCACCCTATCGCTAAGGGAGAGGCCAGCCACCCTTCGGAGGAAGCTCATTTCCGCCGCTTGTATTCGCGATCTCGTTCTTTCGGTCACTGCCCACAGCTCATGGCCATAGGTGAGGGTAGGGACGTAGATCGACCGGTAAATTGAGAGCTTTGCTTTTACACTCAGCTCCCTCTTCACCACGACGGACCAGTGCAGCGTCTCCATCACTGCGGCCGCAGCGCCAATCCGTCTGTCGATCTCCCGCTCCCTCCTGCCATCACTCGCGAACAAGACCCCGAGATACTTGAACTCCTCCACTTGGGGCAGGAACTCATCTCTGACCCGCAGTGGGCACTCCACCCTTTTCTGGCTGAGGACCATGACCTCAGATTTGGAGGCCATTTATTTATGAAAAAACTTAAAGCATTCGTGTTTCATTTACCTTCATTCTAAATGTGACAGATAAACCAAAGACTGAAGAATAAAAGCCAGACTGGCCTCTCAAAAAACTTTGAAAGAAGTGTCAAGTTCAGGAGATTTTATGTATCCTCAGTAAAGCATTACAGCCAGCAGGGCTGTTTCAGCTTTAAAGGCACGTTTGTGCTTTTCTCTTTGTCAAGGCTAAGACACAGTTTAGTTTCTTGTTTGCACAAACTTTATTTGAAGACAAATCATCTGGGAACGTTTAATGCTGAGAACAATGGTTGAAAATCTTCAAGAATTTTTCCAATGGAATACATCATCAGTCCATCTTTTGATTTCTCCCAGAGTAGCTTTGGCCTTATTCACCATTCAGAAATATTTGTTTTGTACTAAACATTTATCTATGATAAGCTCTCTTTTAGCCACTTTGACTCAAAAATGATGCTTTTATTTACTTCTTCAAATTTCATTAAATTTTCAATTTATTTTGTCCAGATTTCATTAACTTTAATGTTTTACATTGTATGTGCAGCATGTAACCACATTAAATTGGAAATATACATGTAATGAAATAACATAATTACATTATGCTCACAGATGAGCATAAAAGTATATTATTAAACATTAAACTCATTAAAAAAAATAAACTCTTAAATGTAACTTTTTTTGGCTTTAATACAGTGTTTAATACAAGCATCCATTTATCATTGGTATGTGTGTGAAGGCAGATGTGCAAATACCTTCTGCAGTACAGTGTAGGTCCCCTTTAATACAGCTGTGCATGAAGCATCATACTGTGGTCGTTTCTCCGTGTTAATAATCAAACTGCGACTGTAACGCATTAATGCCGATGAGTGTATGTCTTTTTATAGATGAATGAAGAAAGAAAGAAACGGTGATGAACCGTGTGTGTGCAAACTTTTTATTCCTCTTCTCTGAATGTACATGCAGTGCATGTAATGGTGCACTTGCGTCCATGCTCTGCTTTGCAGGTGTGCATGATCCATGTTAGCTGTCCTCCCCGGCTATAATGGGCTAAGTCGGCAACCTGCTGGCAGCCTGACGTTTGACAGAAAACATGCATATTCATCTTGCTCCCTTGCACGCACACACTTGGCGGCTCCCTGCAGCGCTGCTGCCACCGAGCCGTATGGACGATTAGTCGAGGCCGCAGCCTTCACCTTTAAAGTCTTCTGTCTTTTCTTTGCCCTCCTTTCAAAGTTACCTCCTCTCTCTCCCTCTTGCATCTTATCCTCTGTTTCCTCTCTACCTTAATTTCCCCATCATGGACTAATCTGCACCGTCTTTCTGCCAACATTTCATATTATCAGTGTGTGCTTCTCCTGCCTTTGATTTTCTCTCTCCTCTGTGTCCTCCTGGTGGGTTTTTTCTCCTCTTTTGTTCCTTGGGTTTGTCTTGTCTCCTTTTGAAGGAGATTGCTTTTTTGGGACAGTACATATGAAGTAATTGCTTAAATTTGTGAAGTCCTCTGTAAGTACTGTTTTCCTTTTACAGAAGATTTGAAAACGGAAGCTAGAACTGTTCCTGGTGCAGCGTCAGAGTCATCAGATGGCAGATATTAATATTTCACACTTTGGCAATGATTATTGAGTTCATTTTTGAAATCTAATTTGACTTTGTATGAAAATTCCCGCTTCCCTGCTCTGTTTGACTCCCATCTGTCTTCTAAACTTGCCTCCCTCTGTGACAGACATTTTTAGATAAAGTTTCTTCTATTTGCTGGTAATGTCCCAAAGGGTCATGCCTAAGGACTCTGGCCTCAGTGTCTGGAGTCTAACTCAGTGGCCTCAGAGTCTTTCTTCTGCATTTGTCCTTATTGTGTTTACTTGTGTCTGAAATCAAATGAAGGCTAGACAGCTGAGCTGTAAGCAAAAACAGACAGACAGCACCTTATGTGAATGAAGGGATGGAGAAAGTATTTATCTGCCTTGAATTCCTGTAATAATGCAGCCGGAGTGTATGTGAGGTTCTCGCTGGTACACAGTAAACCACCATGACTGATTTTACAGCTTATATCTGAGTCTGCTGCATTCAGGAAACCTGATCTCATCAAGTTTGCATCATACATCTCCACATTAAAATGATTTGACAACTGATTAGCTGACTTGAAACTATTCTACCAGCGGCTGTGAAAATAACTCAGGCCTGCTTCCAATCCTTTATATGCAAATGATGCTCTATCACAACTCCATAAAGTTTCAACAGCACTGCAAGAAAAGTTTCGGCGCTTGCTTGAGGTGCAAACAAATTTAATTATTAGCTTTAGAGACACCTTTGACATTCTCCTCCCTGCACCTAAACTCAAGAGTGGATTAGATCCCGTCTGCCTCCTCCTGTGATTCTGAAGAAGGGCCCTGCATTTTTAGAACACAGAATAAGAAGGTTATATAGCGCCAAATCACACCCACGGGCTCTGCAGATGCTCGTATTGTAAGGTAAACACCCTGCAGATGACACACTGTCACCATGAGCAACCACTTGGCAACAGTGGGAAGGAAAAACTCCACTTTAGCAGGAAGACTTGAAAGAGGTATAAAAGAGGCCATCATCTTTGAACAGAGGCTTATGACACCAACTGTCAGCCATCCACAACTCAACTCTCCACCATTTGGTTTTAGAACTGAAGAAGCCCATTGGATGAAAAGTGAAATGACTTCATGTCTGTGAAGGTTCTCAGTCATCCAGGTCATTAGAGATCCTTCCCAGACGCCTTAACGCCCACTCACATCCTGGGCCATCTGACCTCAGGAAATCACATGATAGGGAGGGGTAGGTTACACAATGAGCTCACCCGAAACCCTGGCTGATTGTTATAATCTGAATACTGGGGGCTGTTTTTTTGTTCTGTCTGTGCCTTTAACAGTCT